GAGTCCCTTTTCGTATTATACAGTCGTACGAAGCAGTAACCGAGAAACTTTTCATATTGGGCCCTCGTGCAGAACAATGTCCCAACTTTTCTGACCACGGCCCAGTTTGGACAACGACACGCGACTCCCATAATCTTTATGTATCATACTTTACGAAAACGAGAGCCTACGAACGCATAAATTTGTAGATCAATGTGGATTTGCATTCGTTATTACGTAGTCTCTGTTTACGAGCGTTGGAAAAAAACAGGACATATCAGATTGTATCGATATATTTACTTTAACGTTTAATATAGTGGATATAAATGTCGATACGAGAGTTTTAGTACCGAACTCGTATACTCGATTTTACGAGGCATTCGTTTATATCGACGATTAATATTCTCGTCGAACGTCTTCGACATTACGATCGGAGTCGTGTTTGCGCCACGACTCTCAAACGATTTTATCGTCGAAATATGGCTCGTTAAACCGTACGAGCGTAATAAGGTTTTTACGAATTTTTAATCAAAATTTCGCGTGCATCCCTTTTTAACGCCGCGAACAAAGACACGGTGCTCGCGACAAAGTCGACGTCAAGACGAACTTCGTTCTTCCCGAACGTGCAGGCTGACGTCAGTGTGCTCGCGACGTTTTTCATGGGTTTCCTCGCTCCAAGGACTTAAAGGCTGCAGTTGGTACAAAGAGGATAACAAAAAACTTGTACGCTCGTGGTGCCGGTGTAAACCGTACTCTTATGGCGACCGTGCGGGAATTGAACCAACAGTTTATGTTCGCAATTCGCGCGTCCATGCCTTATCGCCGGGTTTTGCGTCTGTTTGTCGAACGATTGGCAAAGGAGAACCGCGGTCGGACCTGTTTTTACGTCTCTGTATCACTTACCGTCCCGCCATCCTTCCTCGAGTAATGGCTTCTCAAAGTGGGGCGAATCGAACGAATTGTTTGCCGCGACCCGGGAGTTCCTTCGCCCTAAACGAAACAATTGGAACCTTGTTGATCTCGTTCGATGAATATTTCATCGTTTGCAAACTAACAGCGAGGACATTTTCGAGGGACCCGACGATCTTCGACGAAATTGCTTCGGTTCTATATTTCGTTTAAACTATTCCCTCCTCTCGCGGACCTCGTACCACGAATCGAAAGGAGAAACTACCAGGCTACGAATTCTTTTTAGAAATTATTTCTGTGAGACTCTTTTAGAAAGGAGTGGCTACCTCTACGTAATTAATTAGTTTTAATTTTATTAAGGGATATTTTGCTCAAAGTTGCTCCGCGTAACTTCGCGAACAAAGGGACGCAGACGCACGGGGGTGACCGTAAAATTCCGAGCCATTAACTTAGCATTCGTTAATTTACGCGTCCTTAGGGACGCCGCGAAGACACAATTAATTACGAATAGCCATAACGAACCATTCGCCTGTTTTTATTAATGGTCGCGGGGCTCGAGAGTGTAAACGTGACTTTGCCCCCAAGACGACGGCCAGGACGGGGTAAACTTCGAATTAACGACCTCCTGGTGAAACGGTTCCACGGTTCTCTCTTTGTGTTCTGTCATCTGGAAAAACAGCGACAGAACGGGGCGCCATTTAAATGGGAACGCCGAAATGTCTCTGTTATTTCCACAGTAATTGACGAAACTTCCCGAGAGCGTGTGCATCCTCGATAGTTTCCAAAATAAATCATAGCCCTTACCCTTGCGATTCTCGCGGAAAATTGTACGATTTAAAATTTTTTTTAAATGTCCACGGTGTCCACCTTTGTGCAACGCGTTTGTTTTCGTATCGTCCGGAGGTATTAAGGATTCGTTCCGGGCGCTACGATCCACCCTCGCCAATGATTCGTGTCCAGCGAGAAAGATAAATGGTCGTCAAAGGAGCACGAGAAAGTTTTGCTCGTCTCTCCCCAGCGATGGAGAACGAAACGATTCATTTCTAGGAAGCCACTCCGGCATACAAACGCGGATCGTTGTTTTTCCCCATCGTTTTCTTCGAGTCCTCCGCGGCAACGTCCTCGGATAAATGGAACACGCTCGTCCTCCGTTCCTATTTTCTTTGTTATCATACAATCTCCCACCCGGTACCCCCTTTTCTTTATTGAACACAGACTGCAGCTTTTAGCATTCTCCACGGGGAAGAAATGTTTCCACGAAGAGCGGTTTATAAACTGGAATCGACAGCTTATCGTTTTGCATTCGCGTTCGCGATTTACTGCGGATGTTACGGCCGGGTATATCCACGGAGAGCTATACCCCTTCGGTATAGCCGAGAGTTTACGCGGGATACGACCGTCGCCAAGATAAATTCGCCCTGTGACAGTAAATTGTTTAGCAGAAAATGATAAGAAGCGCCCCGACGGTCCACAACTGGAAATCATTTAAGTCTGTTCCCTATGTTCTTCTGTTTTTCCATTCCGTCGATTCGTATCGTTTTATTTAGATGCACGGAGGATTCTGTTACGATACCCCTCTATTATTCGATCCATTCTGGAGGATCTTTGACAGTCTTTTTGACGCTCCGTCCACAAAAAAGTTAGCTTTCAGATCAATGAAACGCATTCTCTTCCACCGACCACACTCTGCGGTCGTAGCAACCCGATTGTCGTGGAACCGCAAACTGCGGATGAAAGTAAACGTGAAGGATACGACAGCCGAAACAGAAAAACAGGAACAGAGACGGGGACAAAATAAAACGCCAGTTCGTCTTACCAACCGATTCGTCAGGACGCTGAGAAAGAAGAAACATTTTTATTTCGAAAAAAAAATAAATATTTCAAGAGAAATCGTGATATTTACAAAAATGAGGTGATTCTACGTGAAAAATGTAGAATACAATTTTTTCATTTGAGGCTACGTTCTCGAGAAAATAGAGTTCGAAAATTTTTTAAGTAGTAACAGTCGGTAATAAGTCAGACGCGTCAGGAAAATCGAATTTTACAGAATTCTACCGTCTCCAAACTTGAATATACACAATAATTTTGTTAATATACTAGCAACCAAGCGTGGAAATTCCTCTGGGGAAACCAGATGGCCGAGAACCCTGTATAAGATCTGGAATTGGGGAACGGTGGTACTCGCAAGCGTTCGAATAAAAGTTCCCCGCGCAACGAGGTCGCATTTTTCGTAAAACTAAACGCGCACGGGGTTCCTCCTGGTCGATGAAACGCCCTTTTAGATCGACAGGCCGAACGAGCTTGCGGGTAAATTGCCAGCAGAGATCCGGTTCGCTTGTAAACGCGAAAGTATACAGTTAATCTCGTGAAGCCGCGAGCCCGGGGATACAAGCGCGACGATGGTGTTCGGTGGAAAGATATAGTAAGACAAACGACATCGCGGCGGCAACCGAAGGAAACGAGGCCACGAAACGATGGAAGAAGAAGATAAAGCGAGAGCAAGAGGAAAAAGGGACACCGGAGGAACACACCGTTGGGGTATTTATTCTGCGGCGAGGAACGCAACTATTTCATGGGTGTCGAGTCGGATACCGTTGAAGGAAACGGCGGAACTCTGACTCCCTCCTTGGGTTCTCCACCCTCATTGGAAAAGGTGCACGGCCATTTACTATCCGGTGCTCGCGACTGGAACGTCCTACCGCTATTTATCCACTTTTCCTCGCGATCGCTGTGATTCTTTTATCTCTCGGAAGTATTCTTCTTCTACTCGATAACGCCGTTTTGTTCCCTTTCGAGGCCGACGGACGGGGACGACGGATGCTCCTCGAGCATCGAGCCGGAGAATGGTTAACCGGAAGTAGTTCGAACGCGTTCGCGGAAACCTCGACTCGAAATATTTCACAGAAATTCTAGTGGATCGTTGGGACCCTCGGGTAATGCTGAATTCGCGATTGGAGAGCGATGCGCTTTGAATTCTATTTTCTATTCAAACCCGTGCTATTAGAATTCAGAATCCACCTGATCTTCTCTTTATTATTACGTGAAGTTTTTATTTATACGAGCAGAAAAAGAACGGTTGAAAGATCGAGATTATACATCAAATTAGTTAATACTTGAACCAGACAGTCGATGGCTGAGTCTGCGGGATTATTAAATCCGCGAAAGGAATTTACAGAGGACCGGTTATCCAGGAAATGAACCCACCGTGCCTTGAAAATAATAATTCCACGAATTAATTGTTCATGCATGCACCGGAGGGGGAAAAAAACTGTAAAGTCTGTCAAACTATAAATTAACGAAGTTGAGAAACGCATGGCGAGTAGCTAGACGAGGAAACCGGGATCTGGGAAATTATAATTAGACACCGGCGGAATGTTGTGTCCAAAAGCTTCGTTTTTATGGCAGTTTTTCCGACAATATGATCAGTTAAAATAATTTGCATTAACGTTACAATAAAAATGAAACGTTGATCGTACAGACTGAAAAAGAAAATTCTGTGTACACTGTTTCGCTGATATTAAATTTAATATAATAAAGTTTGGCCGTACAAGGTACGAGATCGCGGTGGAGATTATTTTTACAAAACGAACGGGCGGGAAAAAAAAAGCGGGGCCATAATTGAAAAACGATGAGTTCGTTTATCAAGCAAATTAGCTCGCGCCAGCAAATTTACGTATCGAATCGATTCACGAAGATGCTTGTGCGTTCCGTGTAATCCGACTAAACTGCGGAGTTTTTTTTTTAAAGCTCGACCAAAAAATTCGTATGCCAATTCCTGGTCGGAGCGCAAAAATGCGGTGGAAATTCGAACTCACTGCACAGTAAACCGAGGAATTCAATCAGTATGAACTGTATATCGTGTCACTCGAAGCTCTGCAACTGATGAGATTATGAGCACCGATGGAGTGAATTCCGACATCGATAGAGATTGTTGGTAAAATCCACGGTACAAAATTCAAAAATATTGCCAAATCGAATCGTTATTTGCTTTCTTCCCGTCCCGGTTCACAATTTTCCATTATTTCGATGACCCAGAATATTGCAATCAATGGCTGCAGTACATTTGAAACAAAAAAGTATCGTAATAAGTGTTTTTTGTTCCTTTTTTACAGGTTCTGCACATAATAAACGAAGTGTTGGAACCGGTTCGCCCAAATTCTGCGGAAATGCCGATTTACAGCCCGAACGCCTTCGAATTCTTAAATCAAAGCGAACATCTCGATTTGGGTGCACATCGTGTTCGGTAAGTTAACTTTTTTCTAACTATATCAAATTTAATTGCATCGCGGAGTGACCCCTTTTAATGATACTATCGCACTTACAATTTAGGCGATTCTTTCGCTATAACAACAATGTCTTCTTGATCAATGCTTCTCGAAACGAGTGATTGTATGTATGCATTGTCTCTAGTGCAATAACAATCGAAATACACTCACGCATTGACGAACAATCACGCTTTGATTGCACGTCATATCAAAAAAGTTCGGCGAAATCTTTATCGAAAACTATTGTTAAATATCGGATTTTTGTTTTCTCGTTACCGGATGCGATACACAGAGTATTCAACCACCTCTGAAAAAAATTTGAATGGGAGATTCTAGGGGCCAAAATAAGACGAAAATTAAGGATACTAATTTGTTGATTGAGATGTAAACAATTATAAACGAGATATCGTAGTATAATTTACTATTCGATGTTATTAAATATGGTCAGTATTCCATTTGAAATATTTCCTAGTAGAAACTGGACGTTTTGGAATAACGAAAACAGACTGTAGATTTATTCAGTCGTCACTAATCTCGCGAGATATCCCTTGCTACTTATCGAGGACTGTTTTTTCTTGATTCAACTCCTAAGTAAAATTTACTCGAGTCCAGTCACGTTCCCCGAAAGATGAAGATAGAACCAACTTCCGTAATTGTTCTCGAGTAACTTCGATGCTCAGTTTGTCAAGTCTTTATCGATATTTAAAGGCACGGCGCCCCGGCAGAGCTTGCCATCCGAGTAAGTAAAACTTGAGTGAATTAGCCTCGTCTTTCCAAAACTACTTTAAGCCCCGCTGCATTTCATTTACTGTCCCAACGGAACAACATTTTCGCTTGTTTCGCGCGACGTAAAGCATCGGGGGGTTTAAGAACTTCTTTAATATACTTCCGCGGCAATTTTTTAATATTATATTTCCGTGAGGCAACGCCGTCTTTATCACGTGCCGTAAACTTCACTTTCCAACAAGGGATTCTCGCAGCTTATTTATACGTTTTTGTATTTTGCTGTCCGTCAACTACATCGCGAGTAAAAAAAATTTTTTTTAGATCCACTCGTATGAAAGGGGTCTCGCGATATCTCTTCGAACGTTCGTTACGCTCGCGGGGAAATAAAAAATTCAATTAACGGGACGAAATTTTTCCACAGCACCTTCAGACAGCGGGTCGTGAAGGAAAAGAAGGAAGATGTTTTCAAGGCGGATGGACGTTACACCTTTTTTATCCCCGTTGAGGAGGGTTTCAAGGTAAGCTGCTTAGCAACCTTCCCGTATCAATCATCCCGAAAGTACCTTAATATCGTCCGTTCCGAAGCCTCGAATAGATTCAGACAAGGGCGACGCGTTCCCTTCGTCGTCAAAGGCGACAAATTCGGATCGATTTCGTGTCTGGACACGGAATTCGCAAAATTACCACCTAATTACCATTCGAGCCACCATCAACGCAATTATTTCTCCAAATCTAATCGAATTAAAATTGCCAATTTCTATATATTTGTTATTTTTCAATTTAATAGCGTTGTTAAACAAGGTTATCGATTTCGTGGTTTCACCCTCGCTTCAGAAATAATTCAGTCATATTGGATGTTTAATCCTCCATTAATTTTGATCGAATTTAATTATTTAACGCATTGAACTTTAGTGGATCGCGCGAAACGATAAGATGAAGTACGATAAGTCGAATCTCGATGGTCGAAGGTAATCGTAGTCGAAAATAGCTGCACGTATCGACTCTCGTGCGATCATCGAGATAACCGATTTTATAGAAAGTAGCACTCTTCGAGTACCAGTAACTAGCAAACCTGAAAACACTTTATCTTTCAAAATATAATCGATTTTATCGCTATGATTTTTACTTCGAATTTTCACCGTGCTTGTGATTTTAACCGAAACCATCTCTAATACTGTTAATTCCTTTCCTGAAACTGTTATTCCAGCTCCCCTTTACAGTTATTATCATTACAAATTAATAATGTATACTGCTTGTTACAAGCGAAAATTAATCAAGCACCGTAGTAGCAGTGCCAGCATAGTTTAACTTCCATAACTCGTTCTGGCTCGTTTCCTAGGTTTCCTGCAGTATATAATTTCAGTTTATTAACCTACGTAATTAGAGAACGTCGTAGAATTTCATACAAGAAGAGCCAATATCTGCTATATCTATTCCTTTGTAAACCTTGCTGTAAACATTACATTCTTTGTCTGTTAAAACAGTAAAGGGGACCCAATAAAACTAATAAATTAAAAGTGAAATGTGTTATCCTCCAGAGGACTCGTCGGTAAAACTTTTCAAAGTGGATTTCAAGCAGAAGCTGTGTCCTACACGACTCGACGAGCAATTCGATTATACCTCGAGATTAAATAAAAGTTACGCTTGTATCATTTTGCGTTAATTTTCTCGCGTCGCTATCGATCACAGGATCGTATCACGCGAAAAACGCGAAGCACCGAACGAGGAGCGTGGAGATTGCGCGCAGTCGATGGCGTAGCGAACGACGCCATTAAATTATAATGTAACCGCGAAGTTAATACCGAAACCTGACGACAACTACGGCCAGATACGGTCGACAATTTGCCGGTATCGGTTATTCGTAATTTCACGATCGAGGGTCGCGTGCGTTCGTGCAGTTCTCGCGATCAAACTTCGAGCGTGTAATCGATTCCAGAAAAAAAATGCGTCCCCGTCACGAGTCGTCGAAACTTTTCTACAACGACGAAGAAAAGAACTGCGGGAGAACCCGTCGGGGAGTTCTCAATTTTTAAAAGTTTTTCATAAACGTGACCGTCGTTTCCTCGTTGAGGATCTCTGGCATAAGTTGGCCCTACGATAGATGTTATTATATTTTATAAAAGAGCATGAATCTGAATAGGACACTGATGCTCGAGGAGTAAACTCAATGCCTCGAGATTTATTTTCAAGCAAACGTGCTCGATTTAAATCAACGTCTGGTACGCGGTTCGAAGAGTAAACATTTCATTTTGCAACGGTGGAAAGATATCGATGGCGTAGAATTTTTAGTCGGACTCGCCGGTACGTTTCGCCGCGAGAAACCGGAAATTACTCGTAGGTCCGCACTCCCCCCGCGTCAGAATTTCACGCTACACGTTCGAGATATCGGATACGCGTTCGTGGAACGCTGGTCGAGGGGGGGGGGCTCGTCTAAAGGGAAAGGCCGGAATCGAGTTTCGGGCCTGAAAAGACTCGTTCCGTTCGCGGGAAGAGCGATCGAACCGTATCGAGAAGCACTCGGAGCAGCTCGTCGAGGCTTTTCCAACCGAACGACATCGATGCCTCAATGCTGGGGACGTAAGGAACCGGAGCTTTCTTCGCTCGAAATGTAAGGCCGTCAATGCGGCCATTACGGTCGGCGAGTAAGAAGAAAGAACGGGTCGAATTAATAACGGGGAGCGAGAACGACGCCGGCGAATGGCTTTTGTGTTTTCGGGGGAAACGAAGCTCCGGCGAACGGGCACGAAAGAAAGTCAATGGGGAAAACACTCGACGGGGGCGTGGAAATGTTGAACAAAAACGAGATGTTCGGCACTTGATACCGCCGGATTGCGGCTGAAACAGATCGATGAAGAAATACGTAAATCAAAACTCTGGATCGACGAAAATTGAAATACGTTTACAATATCTATGACCGTATTTTTCGTTTCTCCGTTGTATTAATTATTAGACTACTTGAGTCTCCCATTTTACCAAATCGATTAATTCCAAGAGACCAGAAAACAATTCAGAATCGAATGAACAATGTAAAACGTGACACGTTTAATTTTTTAAATTCATTGAATTATTTCTTGTAAATAAGAAGTAGCAAATTTGAAACGTAATGAAAAGAAAATCCAGAGGTGTTTTTAGCGAGGAAAATTTGGAGCGTATCGAGGGCGAACAGTACGCCCGGGGTGCTCGATAATTAACTATCAGCTCGTGCATTCTATTTGCCCGGTGTTCTCCGAGCAAACGTACGGGGAAAGGGGAAGGCGGAAAGATAAGGGATGAAAGAAGTTTATTTCTTCGGCGGGTGCAAGCAATTTCCTCGCGGGAGGGCGAGGAACGAGAACGGGCAAACGGGGACAGGATGAACAAAATCGTTTCGTCGGTAGCCGCGTTACGTGATTACATCTTACATGATATCGTGAATAATTCCGCGGACCTGGGAGGCACGTACGGCTCGCTACCCTGCATCCGGAATTAGCTGAAAGAAAGAATCCCAAGAGCGTGGACGGGGGAAAAGTAAAGTCTAGACGATGCTGGGAAATACCAAAACGCGCCAGAATTTCGAACGGAGGAAAAACATAGGATGTACGACGCGCAGCAATATTGCTATTAAGTCAGAATTTCTATAACGCGGTGAATAAAGAGCAAGAGGCAGAGAGGATTCGTTCTCTCGAAGATATAATCGAACGCAACGTAAAGCGAAAGAATAAACGACAGAGAGAGATTTCGTACCGTCTAAAGGTCCGTATTGCTGTTTGCACGGAGGAATTCTATTGCCTCGGGTTATCTCAAGAAAAGTAGATGTACGAAGAAAGAATAGAAAGAGGACAAATAGAGATTTAAGAATGGGACGGCAAAAATGAACCGAGAAACTACGGAATATGAAATATCATCGCCCCTGGCTTTGCGCATTTCGAACCCGTTTCGCGATCCGATCGGCTTTCGTCCACCACCCGGGGGCTGTCGTTAACTGTTTCGCGAAAAGGATCGCTTAGAGTACGGATTAAACGATGCAATTGTCATTATCCGCGCAAAGAAATTAAATTTAAAACGGGAGCTGTTAAGAACCGTGCCTTTTATGGTAATCATTTTACTGGTTTTTTGAAACAAATCATGCAGATTATAGCTAATTATGCAGGATACATTTGGACGTGTGGTATAACCACTCGTTACTTCGAGAAAATCGAGTTTGAACTTCGGTGTAAGTAGAAATATCGGATAATAGTCGGACGCACAAGCGTATAAATAAAAAATATTCAAAAGAAACTATAAAAGGGATGATTCTACGAGAGAAAATGAGTCGAAAGTGTAGGGAAAAGTTTTTCTATACGAGGCTTCGTTTTCGAAAAAATCGACTTCAAAACCCAAGTAGAAATAATCAATAATGGTCAGACGTGAATCTAACTTTACAAATTCGTTTATCTGGAAATCGAATCACGATATGAACAAATCTCTCTCCACACTTTCGACTTGCATTCTCACGTAGAATCTTTGTACATGATATTCACTTATACAGGGTGTCCCGATAATTTTTAATTAGTAAGTTTTACGTGGAAACATGGATTTTGGTCCAAATTTTCGTGCAGGGATTCCGTTTGGAAATTTCGATTGCATCCTTGATTGCGGTTCAGCTCGGAATACCCTCGAACTCGATCGAAAATGGACGCGCGTTAACGAGATCCTTCCATCCAACTTGAAAATCCTGATCAGAGGAAACGTACGACATGCTTTATCTTTGTCACGTGAGATCGTTGTAACGACGCTGCCCGTTAATACGAATCGTGTGCACCGGGCGCCCTCCACGTGCCTTATCACGAATCGGAAATCAATCGCTCATGGCGGGGCTCATCCTTTACGAGCGTAACAACCTTTACCCGGCGTGCCGGTAACGAGGAGCGTGTAATCATCAGTCCAGTGAGTCGAACACGGGGAGATGCTTATTTCGTGCCCTTACCCGGCTCGATGCTTTCGTTACCCTCGGATAAGTAACGTGGTGCTGCGCCCTTATGGCGCGTCTTTGACGTTACCGTTCGCCTCCGCGGTTTTACGCGATTACACCGCATTAGGGGCCGTTTACATGGACCCTCCGTGCGCCATAACCAGCCAGAATCCCCGCGAGAGAATCGACGCGCGGCGAAAAGGGGGACCGAAAGAATGGAGGGACCAGGGATGAAACGCTGTAGCCGGAAACTGCGTGTAATTAATAGGACGACGCGTCTTATCGGCTTGTTAATTAAATATTGCCGCCGATGAGGCGTGGCCAACGGTTTTTTTAGGGTGGCCCTCGTCTTCGCGATACTCTCTCATTTCACATTTTATCGTTCTTTAAGAATTGTTACTTCTATTCTTTATCCATTTAATTTTAATTCGAGAAAGTGTGTATATCATAAAAATGTCGAACGTGTTTCCTGTTGTATTTATAATCTTGCACTTAAAATTGAGACATGCGATTGAGAATCTGAATAACTGGAAATTGAACGAGGTGAGAAACCGTGGAATAAAGAAATGTTTCGTGGGACAAAGGAAATTTGCGATACAGAACCCGTATGATCGAGCAGCCAAACAACCAAGCACTCGTAGAGTCGAGAACTTGTGTCCCAAACAGCGAACCCCTTCGCGACTCGTAGAAACGAACATACATTCAAGGAATGAAAACGGGGTTTCGAAACGGTTGAGAAACCGTTCAATCGGCGATCTTGGATTAAGTGCAGCGTAAAGGAATTCTTTCAGACGGGAGCCCGTACAATTGCTAAACTTCGATTAGCCACCCATATACCTAGGAATCCATACAGTTTACAGTTCATAGAGTTCAGAGAATGGTAACTGCAATTTCGTATTATTCGCAAGATTGGATGGGTCAGTGATTTCCCCCTTAAATTGTCCTTAATCGATGTAATAGCAAATAGAGTTTCTAACCTCTCTATAAATAAATATAATTTACGATGGTACTTTGTTGCAGCCAACGCCGAGACCGGAGAAGGTCGATCGCGTGGTAATCGACGGTCACGTGATACCTAATCACGTTCTCTTCACCTCACCAACCCCTGACAAGGTACCCTACGAGACCCTCGCGTTCACGGACAACGTCAAGGTCACCGTCAGCTTCCGCAAAGAACACGACAAAGGTAATTTTAATCTAACAGAATATTTTAAAAAGTTCGAACCCTAGTGCAACCTGAATACCAGAAGTATTTTATAAAAATCTATAACAAAATTCATATATTTTATGTTCCCTCGGGGTGATTGTAACTTAGACTAATTTCCTGTCGATGGCGAGCAAATGAAACCGAATCAGCGATATATAAATGAAACGACGCACGCTGGACGCGGAATCGGTTTCGAATTATTTAACCAAGATTTAATCTCGCCGTTTCATTTCGCAAATCGGTTACGCGGCCGCACTTAACGTACACCGTCGTCCAGCATAATATATCGTTCGACGAGATAATTGAAACCGTTATTTTCAGTTTACATACAGTCCAACACCGTGTTGGGCGACGCGAACCATCCGACCGGCGTGGTGCTGGCGGAAATAGTCAAAGCCAACATTCCGGTGCGCAACGGCGTGGTGCATTTGATCCAACGGCCACTTATGGTCGTCGACACCACCGTGAAGGACTTCCTCGAGGTCAGTGCCCGATCTATTCTCATTCCCTCTTACTTACCGCGCGGACATTTATAATCAATTTCATGAAAAATTGAATGGCTTGTGACAATAACGCGACCCCTACCACCGGTAACGTCATGTTCTATTCATCCCCATCTCATCATCCGCGGCATGACATTTCCTGCCGACGTGGATTCATAAAATATTTCGTTCTGAATTTGCTACTGCGAATGAAATGGAATCGGGCAGGGAACGAGCTCGAAAAGGCAATCTCTTGTGTATCGGTTCCGCCGGATTTATTATAGAGATTAATAAATCAACGAGGAACCTTTCCTTCGTTAAACTTTATAAGACATAATATTCACCTTGATTAAGGATATATTTAATTATACTTTCGACCGGGCTTCGGGAAATTTGCGAATAAATTGAATAAAACTTAAATAGCAATGTTACTCTTTCGATCTTTATCTTTATTTTCAACGATTCAAATTAGTTCAGATAGCCACGAAGCAACCGTTGCCTTCTTAATTTTACGTAAGAAAAAATTCGAGAAAAGTCGGAAAAGGTCCAAGCGAACGGATTACGAAATACTCATACTTTTAATTATCCTCGAATATTATCAGGCAGCAGTTTTTTCTCCGAGTCAGAAACGAAGACGTTATTTAAGGCGTCGGGTTTCATGGCGACTTATTCCGTACTTTCTGCAGACGTCCTCGGTTCGCGAAGAAACGGACGGCGAGTTTCTCCATTGTCGGAGACGTTATTTCGCGAGTTCCTTTTGATATCTGTATGAAATGCTTTTAAACTGCCTCTGGTCGAAACGCCGGTATTCTTCGTCCTTTCCCCCCCCGTCTCGCGTCTCGGAAGCCCTCCTATCACAATGGATTTGGCTTTGTTCGGAATAGCCCGCGGCTTTCTGGCGGTGTTCAAACGTTAAAAGTTTAATCATCTATCGATAATTTAGCTACCCAGACAGTATAATTCACTTCCATGGAACGCACACCCCGTGTCGAGCGTTTTAAGAATTTATAACGAAACTGACGAAATCCCCCTGGGGTCAATTTACGCTTTCGTTTCAATAAACGCCTACCAAACGCTGTTTCGCGTAATCGAATCTCTCGAAATATTTCGATGCACGAGATCGGCGTAAAAATAACGTTAAAAACAAAATCGTGGTACTTTCAAAGTTCAACCGGAGGTCATTAATGCCCGAAGCCAGGATATAAAGCTTGGATGGATCCAGAATGATCGTTGGACCGGTCCATTGACAAGATCTCGTGCAACGAGTAGCCAGTTACAATGGCGGACAAACGGCCCCTGCGATTTCGGAGCAACAGTCCATCAAATTTCGCGCAATAACGATTACCCCATTCGGTTTGACTGATGTGGCTTTCGTGGCCGCGTAACATGTGTCAAAATATATGTATACAACCGTCACAACTGGCAGTGATTACGCGTTTGCGTTGTATTACATCGTATCTATACGACATCCAGATCCTTTGACGTAGGTGCATCGTTCCGCTTAGCGTGTCACGTTCGTAGCGCGCACATATACGCGACCGGTACACAGTGAATGCTAATGTTCCTCTAATGCATCGTGCGACCTGAATCCGCAATAGACGTCACGTCGAAAATGGAACATCTTGAGATCAATTTCGAAGCCATCGCGAACGTTCGAACCCCTCGCGTGGTCGCCATTTTTATCAAAATTGGAAACTCCTCCACGTACGAGACACCCCGAGCACCGGAAAATTTTAATACGATCAAGTTTCTAATCTTCGACCAAAGATACAAACTTTTTGTAAACACTTCACTTTTTAAGAAACTGTTACGATTAAGTTAGACAGAAATTTGTGTATCGCAATGAAGGTAACAAAAACGTTAAGATTCGCACGTTGCCCTGAGAATATCATCCCTTCGACGTCGTTTCGCGTCTCACGAGGACACCCACGTGCAAGATAAGCAAGCAAAACGAACGGAAACGGGGAAAAGAGCGTAAGCTCGTAAAGATTCTATCCGTCCAACGTGACGTCCGGCGCGGCATCGTAACGATTCTAATCGCGAGGCTCCCAGCGTCGAAGGGTGCGCGATAATGCGGAGCACCTTTTGTATATTGGTTCGGTGGTTAGCCAATTTCATTAACACTAACGGTTTATTCGTCGGGTAATCCGTTTCCCGCCTCCCTTTCGTCTTCTATTTCCGTCGCCAGCTGGCGAACTCCGACCTAGCGTGCTCGCTGCTCGACGAGGTCACGTGTACCTTTGTACTTCCTTCCCTAAATCGGATTACAGTCTCGTGCCGCGCCTCGTGTACGCTGTAAAAACGTGTTAATAGCAACGACGAGCTAACGTTCCTCCCGCGCCTCCCGCGAGGACGTCTAAATCCCCACGGTTTCTTGATCTACGGATTCACGGTGAAGCTATCGATCCGCCGCGCGCTGGAAAAGTTGCGCGATTCTGTCGTTCGACCCTTCGCGAAGCTACCTAATTTCTTGTGATATCCCAAATAAAAAATTCTAGCACGGATGATTTTAATTCCCCGGAACGATGCACCACGGTTTACGTACTCGATTTTATTTACACAAAGTGGCCAAAAATGAATGATATAATTAAATAATGCAATTCTGCACGCAAAACTGAGTCGAAGATGGAGAATAAAATTTTCTCTTACAGTACTTTGTTGTCGAGATAATTGGATTTGAAAGTACGTCCGACCAATATCCGTTATTACTACTTGAATTTTGATTTTTCTCGAAAACGAAACATTTTATTTTTCTATCGTTTCGTGTGCCCAATAATAAGTCGAAGATGACGAATAAAAGTTTTTCTTGGAGTACTTCGTTCACGAGATAATTGAATTAGAAAGTACGTCTGACCAATGTTCGTTATTACTACTTGATTCGTGATTTTCTCGTAAACGAAGCATTCTAATTTCCTGTTGTTTCGCATGAACGGACACGCGATTAATTTTGATGGAAACGGCAAACAAATACCGCGGAATTAATGGAACTTGGCTACCTGAACTAATACATCGCCTCGTAGTCTATTCAATGTATTCTCTATTCAGTCCACTCTTTCCGTGGTAATTTTTTAATTTCACGAGTTAAAGGACAAGTTCAAATAGCTTCCTTTATGACTACCAAAGGGATGCAGAATTACTTCTATGCTCCTTAATTACGTGGTAGCAGCAATTACATTTCGTAAAAGGTTCGCCTTTGACTTTCCCGCCGGATCCAGTTATCAGAATTATAAAACCCTTTTCGTGCTACTGTCGGTTAAATTGCACGGAACATTAAAATTGTATAACATAGCGCGAACAAAAGCCCATCCGTTAAAGCAATAACTTGTTACTCTACAATCTCTCGTTTATTTTACGTCGTGGAAAATTACAAATTCGTAATAAACTTCACCCGCGAAAGAATCGTAAATCGAAGGTATTTTAAAAATTTCCCATTACATAATACGATCCTGCGTTGCAATAATAAATGTATTCGATACGATCGAGGGCGGTTAAGCAAAATGATAAAAGCGTACGCGTCCACGTTGAACGGATTGTCGCAAGTAATTTGTGGCGTGCAGGAAATTCGCAGAACGAGAAAAGCCTTTCGAGCTCAATCCCGCTGGAATTCGTCGAAACATTCGTTCTAATCATTTTCGCGATTGATGTATCGAGTATCGGACAGCAATAAATTGTGCCCGCGGCGTGTCCATTAATACGTTCATTCATTCTCACGATATTGGAAACGGATTCTTGAGAGGACCAAATGTGTTTTCATCGGGACAAAATATACCCCGAACGAGTGGCTGCAAAATTTCATACAACGCTTCATCGACTCCTATTATACAATATCGATCAGTAGAATCCAGATGCAAAATGAAATTTTTCAAACATAATTACGAGACTTGTCCATCGAACGACGATTTTTATTCGAACGAAACGCGGCAATATTTTTTTTTTGTATAAACGTTTTGTGTGGATTAAGATCGCCGTTTGATGGACGAGCCCGTTGCCACGCTTTATTTTAAATTCGTATTTGACGGAAGAAAGCGAGTTGAAAAATGTTTTCGACACAAGTGGAGCATCCCAGCCTTTGAGGCAGCGTTTTAATCTATCGTCAAACACTCGGCTACTAAAATTCGTCCAAAATGTTTCCTCTCAAGGACGACGTATCCAATTCCACCGTTTGACTGTCGTCGTTTCGCCACCGATTGCTCATCCATACTCGCTTCCCGATAGAAATCACGTATCGATCTAACCCGCGGCGAACTATCACGCGTGATCGTCAGATGTGTCATCCGCGACATACATGGATGTATATTTATGAGCGTGTATATATACAAATCTCTCTCTCTACTATATATATATACAAACGTTTTACACAGGGCAGCAACGGAATGTTCACGAGACAGCTGTCGTCACATGCGATATATCGATTGTTCTTCAGCAATGATCCTCGGCACATCTCGCCTACTGTCTGCACCAGATCCTCGTGGACCGGACGTTGGATCAAAGAATCTGAATTTTCACGAAGACACCTTTGATCCAATCACGGCCCGTTTTGTGTTGTGTACATGTACCCTGCAGCCTCCCAAAAAACAATCATTCTCGAGATCATATTTCTATATCTTTAAATCAACGAGTCTTCCAGCGTATCAAGCTTGCAGAAAAATTTCAAAGAAACTAAAAATGAGTACTTTGAACAGTGGACTCTCGAGAGTGGAGTTTCGGGAGGCGCGTTACTAATCACTTACTTTCAGGTTCACTCAAATCGACACTGAGAACGAGACAAGCAGAAAGACTTTGAAAAAAAAAAAAAAGAAAAACAAAAAACAAAAAACGAAAGACAGCCAAGACACACAGTACCGATTTGGTGTGTAGGGGAGCACAGAAACCCGTGTTCTGAAGTCACTGCACCGCCTCGTCTGTCTCACCGCAGATCTCTCGCCTCTGCTCGCAATATTCACCCTGTCTCTGTTAGATTTTTTCACCCTGCCTCCCCATTCCCGACGACTGTGCTCTCT